GGCCAACCTCCCAGCCCTAATGGAAGCGGACGCCAGGCTCATGCAATCTTCTACAGGCCCAATTCAGAGAGTCTACCCAGCAGGATCACCTAAGCAAGGCAGGCCAGCGCGCGGACACATCCTACCGTCCTTCCCCTAGCGTACCCAAGGGTAGGCGGAACTCAGACTAGCCGGAGCAGCTTATATCCCTACCCTACCCTAGAGGTAAGCCATGCATGTGTAGACCCCGTCATATACCTTATAGACCCCCCCAATGCGGTATCGTAGTTGTGTGTATATGTGTGTCGCCAGAGGCTATGTATCCTCTGATCCGTGGGAGTGTGAACGGGGGGCCCAAGAGGATCGAGATATCCTCTGATGATGACGGAGCAGCCGAAGGAGTGAAGCAGGATCTGAGCGTTAAGATGGAGAATAGTAGCCAGTTGTCGGAAGTGAAGAAGCTGCTAGAAGTCTTGGTGCATGGGCTGGCGGACCAGAAAGGGAAGCAACCCGCGCAGGTGGAAGACCCGGCAATGCAAGCTACGGCGCAGGCTACAGCGGCGGCAGCCGCCGCAGCAGCCGAGGCAGTTGAGGCCGTGGAAGCTGCAGACAACATGGAAGACGTTGACATCGTGCAGAACGACCATGTCGACGAAGACGATGAGGAGGCCGACGAGGGAGGCCTGGCAGCATATATGAAGATGCGCCAGGTATTCTATAGCTCTCTACATTATACGAGAGTGATAGAGTTATGCAAGCAAAAGGAGATTCCCTATTTCCGCAAGGAAATGGGTGCTTGGGAGCTAGCTCGACTGGACCTGCAAGAGTACGCCGACCAATTGAAAGGCGATATGTCAAGGAAAGGAGGCGAGTCATCGCGCCGTCGTAACAGTGACAATGACGACAAAGGCTCAGCGGCGGGCGATGGTCCAATCGCGGGAAGCTGACTCTCGGGAGCATCCGCTCTCTTCAGAGAGCAGTCAAACGCATTCTTGCGTTAAAGGCCGCAACTGACGCTAACACTGCTGAAGTGCCTGGGCGAATTCACATCTTAGTTATATTGGTTGTCTGTCTCAGAGGGGATATTGCCTGGGGACAAGCCTATGTGCGTTTCTGGTTGCGAATGCCCAAGGATCAATGGGAAGGGCTCTTGAGTGGTCAGGGATGTGTGTACATCTTGATGTCGCTGAATCACAAGTTAGTCTACGTTGGGAAGACTATCCGCACGTTAAAAGAGAGGTGGGCAGAACATGTGCGGGCCGTGAATGGGGTTAGCAAGCAGAATGTACACACTTGGCTTAGAAAAACTGGGATCGCTCATTATGTACCCATTGCTGTTTGGTTCGGGCATGATACTGTGATTGAATGTATGGAGCGACGAACTATTAAAAGCCATAACCCTAGCTTAAATATGACTTGGATGAGGCGGAAGGGGAACGCCCGTAGGAACCGGGGTGGGAAGCGGACTGCCAATCCCAAACTTGTGAATGTCCCCAATCCTCTGTTTTTTTATTACCCCGATGTAAAGGCAACTCAGGAACCCGATCTGTTGCGGGTTGAGAAAATAGTAGTTAAAGCAAAGTTGAAAGGGTCTGTTACGATTTCTAACAATCAGGGGTGTCGTTGGCTCAGAGCTTGGAGGCTCGTCGTCTTGCTATTTGGTTTTTCGAAAGTGGAGTTTGCTGGGGAGAAATTGCTTCTCAAAGATGCGAGACCCGTCATTGAACAAGGGGGTAGCTGGCAGCTGACGTCAATTCTTCAGATGAAAACAACAACGGAAGTAAAAAAAGAAGAACGAATTGCCTTACTTCGAGCCCCTTGGAAACGCAAGGACTTGCTGAAGCGATCGATGAAAGACCTGATTGACTTGAACAATGGTGTTAAGTCAATTAACCAGCCACGCGGCCGACATATTATTCGTGAAATTCTGACGAGTGTGTTCAAAAAGAAGTTTGGGATTAACCCCCGTTCTAACATCACTGTGAAATTGCCTTTCTGCACCACAATTGATAAAGCAAAAGTGGAATTTGTTGTGAAAATGTGGGTTAGAGAGGAAGTAAGTCTGGAAGCACTGAATGACTTGTTAGCTCGGAGAACGAGAACCGTTTGGCTTAAGGTCAACTCTGTCGGGGATCTCCTGCACAACCAAAAATTGTTTTCGCGTACAGATTCATTTCAATGTACGTGCGCCGACTTTGAGTTGCCCCGTAAAGAAGGGCGTGTCGCAGTCAAGCTCAGTGAAATACCGGGTAGTCATCCTTTCCTCGGGAATGCAAAAAATATGCCTTTCTAGGACACCCTGTCTTCGAAGGATCTGCTTAAAGCTGCTTGTAACAACGCACTAGATACACTGAGGCCGTCTGGGATTGTCACGCGTGAATTACTGATCGACTGACTTTCTATCTGCAAACCAGGTGCAAAAATGGATGAAGGATGTGTAAGGACCGAATACGTTAGAGGAGTCAAACAGTCGCTCGATGGTCTTGTCTTATCCCCGCTGGATCGGAATACCAGCAAAACGTGGGTCGAATGCCCCGAGTTATTTGAAAAGGGGCTGAAGAAAATATATCTGTGTAATGACAACTATGATGTGGTTCCTCATCAGGAAAAGGAGGTTGTTGGGATGATCAAAGCACGCTATACTGAGTGCAAACTTGGAAGCATCGCCAGATGGGATAATGATGGGCATCTCCAACATGCCTATATCTTATCCAAGGAAAAGGTTAAAATGAAGAAAAGGCCGATTGTGCCCTCTTTTGCTAGTCCTTTTAAAGCTGCATCAGGGGTTCTTTCCACGACTTTGAATTTTCTGATTAAGCGTGTTTCAGTCCCACACTTTAATCTTCGAACAATGAGTGACCTGAAATGTGATATTGAGAGGATCAATAAGCGCGGGGAGGATGGGTTTCGTTTCTTGATTCGGACATACGATATAAAGGAAATGTTTACCCAGCTTCCTCATGCAGAGATTACTCGGGCCGTTGACTGGATTGTCGAGT